TAGTAGTCACGTGACTCGCTGACGCAACAGTATGTTTCCATAGGCAACGTAAAAAACAAGTACTGGAAAGTTGCATCTTATTGTAGGAGAAAGTAGAGTTCAAAGCGCTGATAGTGATTGTGATAACTTTACGCTATGTCTAACGTTGATTGATATCACTAAGCCTTACAAGCTAGTTAAATCTTTCAAAAAGAAAAGTACAAAGATGATTTCTCTGGATTCTCTATGTATATTTGCAAGTGTTTCAAGTACGTTATGTTGCATCATTCTCAAAGTACCTCAGATTGTAGCCCTTGCAAAGTCAAAAACAATACGTGGCATAAGTATTTCCAGTGTTCTATTGGAATTTTGGCTGTAAGTATAACTTATAAAGTTTCAATCATTACATTTCAGATACTAAAGTAGACTGAATGTTTCAGTGATTCTTAATTTTTAAATGTGTTTTTTAATTAAATGAAAACTCCTTTGATATTTAACAGAAGTTACCTGTAAATCTTTTAACTTTTGTTTTCTCATTTATTTAGTCTTCAGTTAAAAATAAAATGAAAGTTAAAGTCAAATTATTACTATTACAATAAGATAATCTTATGATTTTGACAGGTTTAATGTATGGCCTCCCCCACAAAAAAAGTGTGTCAATAATCCCTATAAATTAAACATGTTCAATTCAATCTTGTGTCTTTGGTATTAATAATAACATCTTAAAATTTTGAAGATGGAAGTATAAAACTAATCTGTAACAGTGTAAGTATGCTCAATAGGATTTTTTTAAATTCCTCCAAAAATACATCAATTACAGAAACATAAGTGTTGAGCTTAAAGATTTGAATGCTAGTTATATACAAAAAGAGTTGAAGATACTAAATAAATGTCTACCACTTATTTTTTGCTTTATCATCTTACTAATTGTTATTCCTTTACCATCAAATCAATATGTTTTTGCTGACTGGTTGCCTCCCTGTGGTCTGTGGTTTGAAATTAGGGATGGCTTCACACTATCTGGACTGCGCACTGACAAATGTGCCACGACAGGGCTATATAATTGGAGGGACGAGAGCCTATGCTTTGGCCAGTGATAAATACTCTTCTATCATATAACCATGCATAACTATGTGACTACTAATTCAGGTTTATACTTTAATAACTTTGATCATGGAGTAGATTTCATGATAAAACACTTATAAATAAGTTGAAATACATTACATGTGAGCACTTAACAATACAAAAGTATATGGCTGTAGTTATAGGTTTCATTAACAAAAATCCATTCACTTGACTTACCAAGTTGAAAAATGTAAGTTTTTTTATAATAAGTTAGAATGTACAGATAATAAGTTATCAACTAATGTTTAAGTAAACAATCAATAAAATATATATATATATATATTCACAAAGTTTCTAAATTTAAGCCTAGTCTCTTTTTTATAAGACAAATGTAATTATCTTTTAATGTTTATCTTGTACATATAATAATAAGTAGTAACTTCAATGTAATGCAGTATATTGTATTTGTAAAATAAGAAACTAGTTTAGACAAAATTCCTATAGGTCTTTAATACTGAACCTTGTAAATCAAGATTATTACAGTGTAAGTGTATATATTTTATTGTAAAACCTTTTTCATACATATATATTTAAAGACAGTGATTTCTGAAAAATGGTAAAAGGTGTTGAACTTATTTTTATATAAAAAGATATACATCACTACTGATAATGTATTTTATATGCTTTTTTATTATTTTGTCAGATTATTTGGTATTGATTGCTTTAAGCCAAGATTTGTTATATGTATAACCAGTTCCACAAAAAAACTTAGTTATATCAAATACTCAGTATTAGCATAACACCCATTTTTGTATGTTGGATTCTTATTGCTTCTTACAAATAAATTAACTACTGTATAGAGTTTAAGCTTGTTTAAAACCTCTGAATGGTACATCATATCTAGATATAGAATATCAAAGTAAACAGTAAGATACAATTTAATGGTTAAGACCCATAACCTTTTGAACAATACAAATAATTAAAAAAAACACAAAAAAACTTGTTTGCTGTTTCTGTGTGAAAAAACATTAATTTTTCTCCCCAGAAATAGATATTCTTTTGTTTGAAGAGATTCAGAAATATATTTATTTCTTTAATTAAAATGCATGGAGTTAGCTATATAACAAATTGACATTAATTAAATTTGTAAGTGACCACTTCGTTTCTTACCTCTACTGTTTAGCTGCTTATTTATATAGCCATTGGTTAATGAGTTATCCAAAGAAAGTCATGCAGTGAAGGGAAGTGTAGAACACCTGATCCTTTAAGAAATACATAGACTGTACAGGCCTGAAAACTGACAAGAACATCAAAATATGCTTATATTTACTCATATGTAGGTATTAATTCTTTATTGTCTTTATAGATACAGCACCATGGTTTCCTATGCTTATGCAAACAAATATCCTTTTACTGCTTTTAGCGAATATCCCTTCCTTGTTATTCAAGGTAGGTTTTGTTCAATTTCATTTACTTAATAAGATGGAAAATTTGAAAGAACTTTTACTCATGTGGTACGTAAAGACACTATGTAATAAACTGTTAGTGAATTTTGATTATGTAATTATCTAAACTTCATTTTTAAAGTATTTAAACATAAAAATTACCGAGTACATACATGTTTTATATGTTAACATTTTTAATTTTTTAAAAGATAAATGTTTAAAAAAGTAAACATTTAGCTGTTAATAACCTGAAGATTTTTTTCTTAGTCAGCATTTGATATTTAACAGTCAATGAACATACAAAATTACTTTGTTTGGATAGTAAACTGATGTTTTTGAGTCAAGAAAATATATTACTAGTAAAAGTGAAAGTTGAGAAAAAATGACATTATTTTAACCTAAAGAAAATCTGTAAATGCATTTTACCAATGCAGCCATTACCATAAACTCTTTTTCTATGCATTTTAATACATGTGACTTTATAAGGCTCTCAAACGTTTTTTACTTTATCAAGTGTAAATGTATTGTTTGTCAATTGTTGCAAACTAAATATTTATGTCTAATGATCCTACTTTTACAGATTTTATTCTGCTTCTAATGATTTTGCATTACTCTAAATCATTTGGTGTTTCCTGGGTAATCTATTTTGTTTTGTATCCTTTTTGCTTGTTTTACTTCTAAATCTATATATCTTTGAAAAGAACCATTAGGGATTGAACATGTATATAACTAGCTGTTCTTACCCGGTGTTGCCCAGGTATTACCTGAACAGAGGGCCGATGTTTAGCAATTTTTAAACAGAAAGGATCAAATGAAGGTCTAGTGTTCTTGACATTTCTTGTGAACAGCATTCTATGAATAATATTGGAATTGATCTGAATCATATAGATATGAATCCCTTAGTGTAGGAAAATTGAGAGCAGTTAAAATGAAAACACCAGGCCAAAAAATATTTTCTTCGGGGTTTTATAAAAAAAAAAAATACAGAGTTGCAAAACTATCTTTTCATTTTGGGTAGGGCAATATACCACTGGGCAGGTGCCTGAAGATTGGAAAGTTGCTTACATTACTATAGGTCAGTTAGGCTTAATTCTTTATTGGGAAAAATTCTAGGTAGTATGATAAAAGAAGCATTACATAATCATTTAGTGAAATATATCGTAAATGAAAGGCAACATGGATTCACCAAGGGGTAATATTGCCTTACTAATCTGTTATTTTGTTCACGGACATTACTTGTTATCTGGACAAAGGAAAGGGTAATTACTTGGTGTACTTAGATTTTCAAAAACTTTTAATTAGGAGCCACAGAGAAGATTAGATAATAAAATCATGTCTTTAGGGTATGGGAAAAGACTAGTTAAATGGGATTATAGGGTAGTTAGATGGAAGAAAGCAAATGGATCTTATTAGTGGAGTTCAGTCAAACTAGACCCTTTTTATTAGTAGAGTATCTCAGAGTTTTTAGGCTAGACTCTTTGATATTTCTCATTTTCATTAATGAGTTTGATAAAGGAATAGCCAGTAAGTTGAACAATTTTGCAAGAGATATTAAATTAATGTCTTTCAAATTGTACTAAAAATGCTGATGCTTTGTTGAAAGTTTTGGACTATTTGATGATCTGGGGCTAATACCTGGCAGATCTCTTTTTAATTTTGATAAAGTTAAGTTTATTTGTATTCGTTTTCACAGCATTAATTATTACTTTATAGTCTTGTAGGATAAATTCTGAATGAAAGTGGTGAGGAAAAGGATTTGAGCATAGCTGTTATGAAGTATTTAAAGCCTTATAAGCAATTTATGTTAATTATAAGGCAAACAATATTTTAGGTTATATACATAGAAACACAGAGTACAAGTTGAAGGATTTTATCAGTTCACCTTGTAAGGTACTGGTTAGAATTTAGGATTATTGCTTTTAGTTGTAATCATCTTATTTAAGAAAGAATGCTGAGTTGTTGTAGAGGGCTTAGAGAAGAGTTACTGCAGTGATTCCAGGTTTGGAGGGTTATCATATGAGGATAGGTTGGAATATCTTGATGTGTTCATGCTCAAGAGGAGAAGGGCTTGGAGGACAATGATTAAGGTTAAAATTGTTAATGTTAAAGGGTTGTAATACAGATTACATTTTCAAAGCACTTGTAGGCAGTAAGACTGAAGGCTAAAGTTTAAAATAATTTTAAAGTGATTACAGTTTATGCCACTTCTTAATAAATTGAGTTAACAGAATGGCAACTGAGACAGTGGATTTTGACATTAATGTAATAACATTTTATAAATTAATTTTTAACACTTTTGTAACATGCTAGAGCTCAACAAGCTTAGAATTCAAAAATATGTAACGTGGTTAAAATACAAAACAAATTTATAATTTGACAAAAAAAAAAGTACATTTTAGTTATTACTGATAAAATTAGAAAAAAAACAGAAGGATATATATAGAAAATTTGATATTTTATTTTCAGAGAAAGACTTTTGTATGAGAGTTGGTACTTTTCCTGAGAAGAGAGGTGATATATTTCTTAAGGACACAACTATATGTTTAATTAATGTTAACAAGAAAACTTGTTCTCATCCAAATATTTAAACCATTTTACTTTTATTTGGCAGAAGATTTTATGTTAGACAAACAAAAGTACTGATGTGGAAGCTCCAAGTATTTGTTAATACTTTTTTTTTGTAAAGGTAATCATGTTTATGACTTATGTCAAGTTTTTTGTAGATAAAAAAAATCCCTGCATACTTATCCAACTTTTGAGATCAGGGTTTCCAGAAATGAAAATGAAAATTTTTTTAATGGTGATCTTAATAACTTATTTTGTTTATTAAGGATTGTTAAACTTCCTAACCACAAGAAGTTTTACTATGGGCATCATGTAAACATCTTTTTGGGCTTTGGTTACTTGTTTTATGAAAGTGCTAATATAGAATAATAACCACAGTTGAGAGCTCTATGTGAAAGTTGTATTACTGTTTTATTGTCTCTTCTTTTTTCACACACTGTAAACCTGATAAGAACTTGGCATGGAGTGAGAAAGCCATGTTGAAATCAATAAAAACTATAGAAGTCCATAGTAATGTCAATTCGCATGATTAAGCACTTTCCTTTGTTAACATTTGGGTTTGGACACTGTGGTATGTTTTCATGCAATTTCAGAGTAATCGGCATTTTCTGCACATCTTTCTGTCCTCCAAAATATCTCATTCACTGATGTGTCTTGTAGGACCAGTTCAATATTTTCTGTATCTCTTAATGTCCTCCAAAACATCTCTCTATCAGTGAAGTGTCTTAGCAGGATCAGTTCAACATTTTCTGCATCTCTTTACATCTTCTTAGCAGGACCAGTTCAGCATTTTCTGTATCTCTTAATGTCCTCCAAAACATCTCTCTATCAGTGAAGTGTCTTAGCAGGATCAGTTCAATATTTTCTGCATCTCTTTACATCTTCTTAGCAGGACCAGTTCAGCATTTTCTGTATCTCTTTACATCTTCTTAGCAGGACCAGTTCAGCATTTTCTGTATCTCTTAATGTCCTCCAAAACATCTCTCTATCAGTGAAGTGTCTTAGCAGGACCAGTTCAATATTTTCTGCATCTCTTGACATCCTCTTAGCAGGATCATTTTAGCATTTTCTGCACCTCTTAGTAGGACCAGTTCAATATTTTCTGTACCTCTTTATGTCCTCCAAAAGATCTCTTATTCAGTGAAGTATCTTAGAATGACCACATTTTGCTTCTACCTTTTTATAAGTGCAATCATGAAGAAATATTGTAATGTATTTAACCTTATGCATAAATGACCAGATACAGTTAACTAATTAAATTTGCATACAAATTACTTGTAAATTGTAATATTTATTATCATTGTCTAATTTAAATATTTGGAATTATATAAAAGTTGTTTATGTTATTCAAAGCACGATTCTTTACTTTAAAGTAAGTTTGAATAATAAGAATAGGTGTGATATTGTTACAAATAGATTTAATTTTAAAAAACGAATGAAATCTATTGTGATTTCCAAAATCCCTTGCGAGTCTAAAGTTATTTGTTATGTTGTTTTTAAGATGTATTATCAGGTATGGTACTAGGTATATTGAAATCAGTCATAAATCCCTCCCTGTACATAGGTTAAGAAAAAACTTCAAAAGTTACTTTTTCCCCTATTTCTTCATTGTCTGTGTCCTAACAACCACTCAGTCGTGTAATATATACCATATATTTTTAATCTTATTAAAATGTTTGATTTTTTTAACAAAGGTAAGTTTGAAGCGTTATATTTATACCTGAATCAGAATGGACAATGATGGTAAACCACTCTTCCCTTTTGTTGTTATTTTCCTTAATCTGATCTGAACAGAATTGCTATCATTCAGTACTGCATAGCTTTTGAACACTTGCCGAAGACGTTTGTGTCCGCAGTGGTGGTATGTATTTCACTTTGGGTTACTTAGTAGAAGCTTATATTTCAATTTTCATTGGTTACATAATAATAATTGTATTAGTTGGAAAGTATATTGTGTCTTATGTCATATTTATCCTCAAAAGAATTATTAAAAGTTTCAATCAATCACTTTGCTCCAGATTTTAAAACTTTTTATCTTTTACTGTAGCTTCGTTAAAGGATATAACGAGAGTAGGAACATGGAGCATCTGACACGTACTTTCACGAGTGGTTTTGATTTTCCATTCTGATGGTACACCACATAAGTCCCAGTATTATTATTCCACACCTTTGCTACATCTGGATCCAGTAATGTTTGTGATCTGAAAAAATGTGTACCTCCAGGTTCTCCAGAACATCTTTTATATTATTCATTCACCCTGTTGGTAGATTTCCTCTATATTTTAAACTTGATGTTGTTAAGATTGTATTACACAGCACGTGTATCAGTCATCTGTCTGTTCAAACAACCATTTATTTCTTAGTATTGAGCTGTGTATATATCCTATATTCATTATGAAGTCAATTGGAGACCTGTTTTTTATACCCTGGATTTTATGGTTGTATTATGTGGTTAAGTGTCAGGTTTCTTAATGTTTGCTGGCTTTAAGACTTTGAATCAGGTTTAGTCATGAGACATCAGAG